GGCCAGCACAGCCCAGCACAGTCAAGGACCCCTTTCCCCCAGCCCAGAACAGGAACAGCACTGACCTGGGATGAAAATGGCCTTCACCTTCTCCTGGTCTAAGACGGGGTTGCGGAGGGAGCAGGTCACGTTCTGCACAGAGCTGTCTCTCAGCACCAGCGAGGCCTCCACGCTGAACAGCCCGTCAGCATCTTGCACGTGGGTCTCAGAGAAAGCCAAACGCTTCCCTTCACTGGGGTCTCTCCACTGCACCTGGGGCTTTGGAAACCACCCGGAGGCCGTGCACACCACGCGGACCCCACCTTCCTCCGGCCCGTGGATGCGCACCTGAGGGGCGGAGCCCACACCTGCGGAAGGGAAGCTGGAGAGCCCAGGGGCACCTTGACCCAGGGGCAGGCCCAGACCCAGGCCTTGTGGGAAGCAGCCTTGCACTGCGGAGTTTTGTAGGAAGGCCGCCCAAGTGGTGACAGGGCTGAGACCCCACCACTGACAACCAGCCGAGCAGCAGATGGGTTCTGTGGGGAACTCCGAGGATGGAGTCCAAACTTTCCAACCACGTGGGTGCAAAGATTGAGGCACAGAGGGAAAAGGAGAGGGTGGGGGTGGGGGGTTCCAAACCGCCTTTCTCTATTTACAAGCCCAAAGCAAAAAGGGTTGCACACTAAAGTAACATGCCTTAATGGGTGCCAAGGGTGGGAAAAGGCAATCGCTAACATACCGTCAAAAAACTCACAGCCTGTGAGGCAATTCTGACTCATAGCGACCCTGTAAGGTGACAGGATAGGACTGCTCCTATGGGGTCTCCGAGACTGCGTTCAGGGGAGTAGAAAGCCATGTCTTTCTCTCACAGAGCAGCTTATGGAATTGAACTGCTGACTGACTTGTGTTTCGCAGCCCGAAGAGTAGATCAACTTGTGTGAGGAGAAGGAAAATAGATAGACTGATAGATGAAAGACAGATAGATGATAGATGATTGATAGATAGATAGATAGATAGATAGATAGATAGATAGATAGATAGATAGATAGATAGATAGATGAAAGATAGATAGATGATAGATGATAGATAGGTAGGTAGATAGGTAGATAGGTAGGTAGGTAGGTAGGTAGGTAGGTAGGTAGGTAGGTAGGTAGGTAGGTAGATGGATCGATGGATCAATGGATCGATGGATCGATGGATGGGAGAGGATCTTAATCCCTACTGCCACACAAACTCATAGAATTCAGCAGATAACCACCCTCAGAGCCTTCTTCCCCCTTCAAACTCGTGTCCTCCCGAATCTGCTCCCCTTGCTGAACCGACTTTCTAGATCTCTCTTATTTTGACACCTCCTTCCCCACCCACAGCCACTGGCTACAGTCAGACCATCAACCCACCCCATGACTGCAGTCCGTGCCAGGCTTTCTCCCCAGCCAGGGCTCTCAAGGGGACAGAGTGAGCAGGGCCAGGAGGCTCCTTCCACTTAAATGTCTTCAGCTGGCCTCCAAACTCCAGAGCCCAGCACACACAGCCTTTTCCGGTCTGCCAAAGGTCTTCCTGCCCACACCCACAGCCGCCGCCTGTCCCCTCAGGGCCCCCTAACTCCAGCCCCAAGGGCTAGCTGTTGAATGGTTATTGACCACCCTGTGCTCTATGTGCAGCACGCCTTATCCAGTGCAGTCCCCCAACCTTAAGGGCTCTTGGGAACCTTGCATGAGGAGCTGAGTGGCAACTTCAGTATCTACTCCTGAGAAAACTTTTTTGATCACCCCAGGAAATGATCAGTTCCCCCTCTGGGCAACCTGAGGAACATCTTTTTGTCCAGTAGTATCACCTCCTCCCATCCTGTCCCTCATTCACACCAGCGCCAAGAGGCTTTCTGTGTGCCCAGAACACACCAGCCACGCTGCCACTGCGAGCATTTGCACTAGCTCTACCTTCGGCTTGCAATTCTCATCCCTCACATACGCACTTTGCTAAATTCCTATTTGGTTCAAGCTTTTGCCCAAACAGCACTTTCTTTGTAAGGCACAGCAACAATCCTCAGGCCCCACCAGTAGTGTCAGGAGGGAAAAGGGGACGCTGAGGGATTAGAGGGGGTTAGATGAGATCAGGTGATGCTGTCAGAGGGAGTGACCCCAAATGACTGTCTGGAAACATGTACAATATTTTAGCAGAAACGTGTTGTTTTTCTCAATGTAGTCTGTAGTTAGTTAATCACAACAAAAGCATTTTTCATATATCAATCTACCTAAAAGGTGAAAACTCTATGCTAATTTACTTTTTGAATATTCTCATGTGCCCTGGTCAAAGCTTCCATGATGATCCAGTTACAAGCACACTTCACACTACTCTGAGAGTGGTCCCATCTACGTGGGCTATGAGCCCATCCATCGACGTGGGCTATGAGCCCACCCATCGACGTGGGCTATGAGCCCACCCATCGACGTGGGCTATGAGTCATTATTTTGGTTGCTGCTTTCGTCCGTGTAATTCCTGATTCAGTCAAATTCCTGGTCAAGAAGGAGGAAAGGGTAATGTGGAAAGGGGAAGTGATCCTAGGAGTTGCCCTACTGGATGACACCCATCCAAGTGATGTCATGGCTCCACCCCACCCCCCACATCTAGATCCCCTTCCCCTTTCAACTTGGCCTTGGACCGTCAGAACTGATTACCTTCTAACGTCATCTATGACCTATTTGTGAATTGTTCTCTCTCTTTTTATATTATTATGTTTTATTGCTCTATTTCTATCTCTGCACTCTCAATATGAACACCACAGCACGGGGATCTCTACCTGATTCACTGGTACATCCTTAGCACCCACCACCAGCTCTGGCCCAGCGTGAGGGCTCTATATGATTGATACTGAATTATGGAATCAACGGGCCTCCATTTCTGCTCCTATAAATAAGGGACTGCGTGAAATCATCCCTAAGGTCACTCCCAATTCCAACCTCCAGGACTCTAGAACCTATAGACCAAGTCACGAACCTGTCACCTTCACTGCCAGAGTGGCCGCCTCATGGAAGTCTCCCTTCTTGAAGAAGCAGTGTACAGGCCGTCATCAGAAACCCGCACCTTGTGGAGGCGCACCACAGCCACCCCCTGAGTGAGGAAGTCCGTCACCAGCGAGGTCCGTCCTCTGTAAGGCGGCATCAGCTCTTCCTGCTCCGTCCGCTGGTTCCGATAGACGAGCACTGCTTCCGAGAAGGCGGACCGAAACCACCGCAGCTCCATGTTCTCCGCATTCAGGGCTGGGGACAAGACGCAGGGCAGCGTGGTGTCCCCGCCCACCGCTGCCACAATGGGCTCCGTGGGGCCAGACACCCGGAACGTCTCTGTGGACACACACATGAGAGGGAGCACGCTGGAAAGACTAAAGCTGAGGGGGGAGAAAACTCAAGATCAAGTGGAAATTGGACATGCCCCCGACTTCCTGAAGGAAGGAGGTGTGAGGACTCTGAATGCCAGGAGAAGTCCGGTGCTCAGACTACAGCATCCTAGGCCAGCTTTCATAGCAAAGGACTGCCCGCATTCCCTGGGCTCCTCGGGGGAGGCCTCAGGCCCTCCCATCCAAGACCCTTTCACTCCTTCATTCTGAGTGTGCATCAGAAACACCTTGCGGTTACAGAGCTCAGGTCTCTGAGAGCCGCCACCAAAGTGTCCGCTTCAGTGGGTCTGTGGGAAGCCCAACATGCACATTTCTAAGGAGTGCCCGAGGGATTGGAGGGTCAGTGGTAGAACTCTCGCTTCCCATGCAGACCAAGATTTGACTTCACGGGTCCTTGGGTCACCCTGAGTCAGGTCCCACCTGAGGCAGCACCCAGCAGTGACAGCAAGCCAGCAGACAAGCTGTTCCAGGGACCACAGACTGAGCCCCAGGGCCCTCGCCTGGCTCCATTCCAAGACTGGACTGAGTGGACCACAGGCCACCAGAGATGCAGGTCTAAACACTGATCATTCAACCGCCCCCAGAAATTCGCCTGTTTTTATTATGGTTTACTTTATTGACATATTACTTACATATCATTCAGTTCAATGGTTTAAACATATTTAAAAGATGATAGTGGTGCAATCATCACCACAGTCCCTTTTTTAGCATTTTCTTTATTTTTGTATCCATTATTGTTAGTTCCCAATTTTTCCCAACATCCTCTACCGTTAACCTAAGAAGCTATTATTCCAGTTACAGTCTCCATAGATTTACGTATCCTGGATTTCCTTTTTTTTTTTTACTCGTTTTATTAGGGGCTCATGCAACTCATCACAATCCATCCATGCATCCATTGTGTCAAGCACATTTGTACATTCATTGCCCTCGTCATTCTCAAAACATTTGCTCTCCACTTAAGCCCCCGGCATTAGGTCCTCATTTTCCCCCTCCCTCCCCGCTCCCCC